ATATTAACTTAAGCTTCACTGCAGTCCTGGACCATTCAATATCTTCTAAAACTTAGTAATTCAAGACACAAGAAAATTCTCTGAAAATTTGTTTTTACAGTGATGAAATCCTAAAATTAGGTACAAAACCATCATGTGGAAAAAAGTCATCAAACTAAATGGTCTTTGAAAAGAAAGTCCTTCCATTTTGACAGTTTATTTTCTAGGACTTTTTCTTGTTTTAGTGTGGGGGGGGGAGTGAAAGAGGAAAGGGTAATGGTTGGTATATATTGATGGGGGGGGGAGGTAGATGAAAGGGGAAAGGGGAGTGGTTGGTATATATTGGTGGGGGGTCGTCAAATAATTCTCAACCAAATACTTTTCCTCAACCTTACTCCGGGGGGTCAAATAGAAACATTTTTTCAATATTTTGTTTTTTAATTTTAAAATTATTTCTTTCAAGATGATGCAAATACGCAGAATTTTCAGAATTGGTCTGTTGAAGATTGGTTGGTTTGGTTGGTTTATATTCCTGGCTCTGGTTGAGAGATTGATTTAAGATTGTTTTCATTTAATAAGGCTTGGGTTGATTCAGCTACTTTGTGTTTGGTTTGGTTTTAAAGATCATGGGTTGGTTTAGACTTTTCAAAATAAGCCTTGTTTGGTTATCTAGGCTAAGGATTTTTGGTTTGGTTTAGGATTGTTTGGTTTTGTTTAGTTTGTTAAGTTTGATATGAATTGTTTAGATAATAAAAGGTATGGTTTAGTTTGCTAGCTATGGTTTAGTTTATCATACAGTGGTCACCCGAAAACAGTGGATTGATTGTCGTCTTCTTGATTTAATTTTTGAATAAAATGTTGCTAACAGTTTGTAACTCTAAAATGTTCATGTATCCTGCAGATTGAAAATATACATTGACCAAGTTAGGTTAAATTGGCGTATCTGATTTGGTTTATTGACCGGAGCTGAAAACTTTAGAATAGGATATCCTTAATCCCGATCGGTTAATTAATCTGAAGATTAATAACAAGAGGAGAACAAGCATTATTTAATCTGGAGATTAAGGTTATCCAGCATTGATCTCGATATCCACCATTCTAAAGTGTTCAGCTCGGGTTAAGTCTGGATAAACGTTAAACTGACGATGTTTTCAGAATAGTTAACTTTGCCGGGGTTAGTTTAACGTTCATGGTTTAGTTTTATTGACCGGGTGAGGTTTGGTTGTATTAACTAGCTTTAGTTTGTTAGATTTACGATGATCTGACCTGGTTTGGGTTGGTTTGTTTAAATTGACCTGGTCTGTTTTGATTTCGTTAAAATGACCTGATTTGGTTTAGTTTGTTAAATTGACCTGGTCTGGTTTTGTCAAATTGACTGGGTTTGGTTTGGTTTTGTTAAATTGACCTGGTCTGGTATGGTTTGGTTAAATTGACGTTTGGTTTGGTTTGGTTAAATTGACCTGGTTTGGTTGGTTTAAATTGAGCTGGTCTTTTTTGGTTTGGTTAAATCGACCAGGGTTGATTTGGTAAAGATGACCTGGTTTGGTTAGGCTTGTTAAATTTACCTGGTTTGGTCTTAAATTGACCTGGTTTGGTTAGGCTTGTTTAAATTTACCTGGTTTGGTTTAGTTTGGTTAAATTGACTTGGTTTGGTTTGAAACGTATACCCAAGCACGCCTATAATTTTGAGTTCCAAGGTTTACCTCTAATAAATAGAGCGATTAACGCCCGTAGATTGTTTTTTAGTTCAACCCCTCCTTGAATTAACCTAATTATCTAGGGGCACCAAAAAACGATGAAATAATACAAAAAAAAGGTCAGATTAAATTTTTCTTTCAATTTTGAGATGAGGAAGATCTTTTGGTTTTCCAGTTTTAAACTGGGCACGCCCGGATTAGTCTAATTAAATAATTAATTTAATTGGTTTCCCCTCTTGTATCTGTTATAAATATGCAGTTTTTAAGGACTTAAATCGTATTTAAATCAATATAGCTATTTCCTCTACATTAGCTCTGCAGACCAGAATATATATATTTTGTGGTATGAGTCAATATATCTCCCCTCTATATATATATTCTGTGGTATGAGTCAATATACTCCCCTCTATATATATTCTGTGGTATGAGTCAGTATATCTCCCCTCTATATATATTCTGTGGTATGAGTCAATATATCTCCCCGCTATAAATATTCTGTGTTATGAGTCAATATACTCCCCTCTATATATATTCTGTGGTATGAGTCAATATATCTTCCCTCTATATATATTCTGTGGTATAAGTCAGTATATCTCCCCTCTATATATTCTGTGGTATGAGTCAATATATCTCCCCTTTATATATATTCTGTGGTGTGGCTTGTATTATGGAATACAAGGGAAACAGTGTAAAATGGATTAAAACAATTAATCTTCTCTTCCTGGTAGGTTGGTTTTCTTTACTAGGGGCTTACTTATCAAGACCCCTGCGTTATCAATCGAAGTGTTATGAAGGACTGATAACAATGTTTAAAACTAGGAAAATATTTGTAAAGATGAACAGGCAGGATTCAGGGAAGTGTGCCAGACCACCGCCATTTTAGATTTCAAAACTAAACCAAATTCTACGAAAACCAAACCAGATTTCATTGAAACCAACCCAATTTCTACAAGAACCAAACCAAATTCTACGAAAACCAAACCAGATTTCATTGAAACCATCCAATTTCTACAAGAACCAAACCAACTTCTACGAAAACCAAACCAGATTTCATTGAAACCAACCCAATTTCTACAAGAACCAAACCAAATTCTACGAAAACCAAACCAGATTTCATTGACCAACCCAATTTCTACAAGAACCAAGCCAACTTCAACTAAAACCAAGCCAGATTTTACTAAAAACAAGCCAGATTTCATTGAAACCAAACAAAATTCCTTGAAACCAATCCAATTTCTACAGAAACCAAACCAAGTTATACTAAAACCAAACCAATTTATACTAAAACCAAACCAAATTCCACTAAAACAAAAAAAACTATTTTTACCAAAAACAAACCAAAGTTTACCAAATTATACAATAACCAAACCAAATTATAAAATAACCAAATCAAATTCTACTGAAACCAAACCAAATTCTAATGAAACCAAACCAAATTCTAATGAAAACAAACCAAATTCAACTGAAACAAAACCAAATTTCATTGAATCCAAACCAAATTCTACTGAATCCAAACCAAATTCTAATGAAACCAAACCAAATTCTACTGAAACAAACCAAATTCAACTGAAACAAAACCAAATTTCATTGAATCCAAACCAAATTCTACTGAAACCAAAACAAATTCTACTGAAAACAATCTGAAGTCCAATGGAAAAAAAACCAAATTCTTCTGAAAATGGAAAAATTTTAAACCTTAATTTTTGTCTACAGTGATCTGAGATGCTACTTGCAAAGTAAAAACTAATCAACCAATAATTTTAAAAAATTTCTCTTGTCGTTAATATCAAAGTGAAGATCTTAATATTGTGTAAAAATAAATAGAAAATATCAACCTCCCCACCCTCTCTCTTTTCTAAGATTAATAGCGAACGTAAGATAAATTTAAGCAAGATGTAATTAACAGTGAATTAATGAATGAATTAAAGAAAATAATTGAAAGATATTAATGAAACTTGGACATTTATTGTATTATAATGATTCACAAGATAAATATACATAAAATGTGATTTTTGTTTCGTAATTCTGAGAAACTATACCTTTTTAATTTCTATATGTTTGAAACCTTATGTTTTAAATCTTTGATATTTCCAAAATATCTTTACTATCCCTATTCTATGCTTTCTTTTCTACAAACTATATGTTTTAAATTCGCGGTTTTTCTACACGAGTAACTCATGGATTTTTTGACACAGAAAATAACGGAGGAAATGAAAAACGACAGTTATGTTTATTATTATTGATCAGATAAAAGGTTTCATGAAAAAAAAACATGGCGAAATTTCTTTTTTCGAACACCACCTTGTATGTTAATAATCTAGGTTTCCTCTCCTGATGATATAAATTACAAAACTCTAGGTTTGAATGTATTTTCATCTTCTTCGGATTATACTGTTACATTCCCTAAATTAGAAAATCATCTACAGCGTTACAAACTACACCGGGTTAGAAGACCAGATAGGGTTAACCCGGAGATATCTGAGCTTAACCAAACATTGAGCTCGGAGTGTAGGTTGGACATTGTAGATGTAGGAACTGTAACAATATCTCTCTAGGAGAAAATAAATGGGAAACTAAGAGTCTGAAAGAAAGAGAAGACATGAAATAGAAAGAATCGTCATTCAAGTAAAATGATTAGAATTGGAGAAATTTTAAAATAGAAAATGAGTTTAAACGTCCTTTAATACGCTTTGATAAAGAAGAAAACTCTCGGTAAGAAAACTCTAAAAATTCATGAAAATAGTAGCAAAAAAATTTTCTAATACCTATATCCTTGCAACCTAATGGTTTAAACTTTTGATATTTCATAACTTCGGATACTTGATTTGATATAATTCCTAGTTTGAAATATCAAAGGTCTACCACATCGGGTTCAGAAATATAGGAAGTTTGTGGCAAAAACTCAGTTCCTTTTCATTTCATTTTATATTTTTATTCAACTACAAAGCACGAGATAATACAAATAACAATTCACAATTTACAATGTAGTTTGGACCCGCCTAACCAGAGTTGGTTGTTTTGATTGGTTGGCATATTATAAGCGAATAAGAATTGTAAATAAATAAATGGATGTACACTGTACAGTTTACATTTTAAACAAACCAATGATGATAAATCATGAATAAGGTAAGGAGGGGGTGAAAAAGTATAAGGGAAAGGGTGGGTACTTAGCGGAAGGGTTGTAACAGAGGGTAACATACAATATTAGAATCATGTTTATGAATTACAGGGTGAAGAAGATAACAAAGACTAAGTTTATCTACATGAAAAACAGTTATTTTTTTACAGATATAGCTTGCATAACTATCTAAATAGTTTTGGAGGTTTATTTTTTTAAGAAAAGAAACATTCAAGGAAACAAAATAAAAATAAAAACATTCTGCTTTAAGGGAGTGGGTCTTGAATTCATAAAGTAAGTATAGGAAAATTGTTAGCATTAAAAATTTAACATTCTTAGTCTTACTCCCCAGTTGAATTTGATGAACACTCCCTTTAAGTTTATCCGTTAAACATCTGGAGGAGAAGAAGAGCTTTAGATGCAGTGTTTAGATCCCCCTGGACCAGGACGGATATAAGGGAGAGAAGAGAGAGAAGGATGGATTGCAGGGAGAAGGTGATCGTAGCCAGGTTGTGCCCAGTCCCGTCCTTTAGGTTCAGGTTGAAGTGTCGAGATGAACTGTTTCTTCCTTTCTCCGGGTCTTCATTGAGAGCACGGGACGTATTCTTTTTCTCCGAGAACCAAATAAGCTTGCGAGATAAGTTGCTTTTGTCTTTCTCCAATCTTTTCTGGTTGCTTTCATTGATGTTTAGAATATCTTGGGTCTGCTGAAACAAATCAGCTGATTTTAAGACGGAGATCTTTGGCGATAAATCGTTTTCATTTTTAGTTGGAATATCTCCAGCCCTACAAAATAACGGATTTAATGGGACTGTAAGAGTAATTTCAAGTAACCCTCGATGCAAAGATGGCAACTCCCGATTTACAACGGTACTCTTGAAACCTTAAAATCTTATCAAAAATGTGGAGGAAACCTTCGTTTTTTTCTGAATCGAAAAGTGTTTTTTTTCTCTGAGTTTCTTTATTGATTCTTATAAATAAGGAATACGCAAATTATTTTCGCAGAGAAACCGCATATGAAAATAAACAGTTTAAAAGAACAAAAACATTAAATCTAATTCATACCTGATCAGACAAACAGGGGCGGATACAGAATTTAAGTGAGGGGGGTGCTAGACTAATTTCGGAACAAAAAAATCCAGATTTAGGAACCAAAAGACTTGCCGAAGGCGACCATTTTTTTAAGATAGATATTTTTTCTGTTTTGCACTAGGTTTTTCTTTCGCTTAAGTGCTATTGAGAAGCTATTCTGAAATCTCAGGGGGAGGGGGGTGGAATCCGTCAGGGGGTGGAAAGGTCCTGCCACCCCCCCCCCCCGTGTTTCCGACCCTGCAGACATAACTTTCAAGGGTACCGTTGGGAATAGGAAATTGCCATCTTTGCATGGAGGGTCATTTGAAATTACGCTTACTGTCCCTTTAAAGAACGATTTATTTGTCGCCAACTCTAATATTTTAGGTCTTTATATCTTTACTATATGATATAGTAAACCTTCGATACTTTAATCTGCATAAACCGCTAGATAAAAAAAGTCAAAGTTTCGATTATCAGATAGAAAAGCTATGTGGATTAGAAGGCTAGAGTTTGAGACAAGTGATCACTGTCTTTTCGAAAAAAAAAAAATTTTCAACAAAATTATAAAAGTTTTTTTTTCGAAATACCTGTTCAACTTTTCAGAGTATACGGTAACGATGAGAAAGAAAAGACAGAATCGCATAGTTGCTCTCTGCTCCAGGTTCAGGACAGAAAACTTGCTTTCTACTTTAGGTTAAGGATAGAAAACGTGCTCAGTACGCCAGGTTCAGGATAGAAAACTTGCTCACTACTCCAGGTTCAGGATAGAAAACTTGCACACTACTCCAGGTTCAGAATAGAAAACTTGCTCTCTACTCCAGGTTCAGGATAGAAAACTTACTCTCTACTCCAGGTTCAGGATAGAAAACTTACTTACTACTCCAGGTTCAGAATAGAAAATTTTCACACTACTCCAGGTTTAGGGCAGAAAACTTGCTCTTTACTCCAGGTTCAGGATAGAAAACTTACTTACTACTCCAGGTTAGAAAACTTGCTCTTTACTTCAGGTTCAGGGTAGAAAACTTATTTACTAATCCAGGTTTAGGATAGAAAACTTGCTCTCTACTCCAGGTTCAAGATAGAAAACTTGCTCACTACTCCAGGTTCAGGATAGAAAACTTACTCACTACTCCAGGTTCAGGATAGAAAACTTGTTCCCTTCTCCAGGTTCAGGATAGAAAACTTGCTCTCTACTCCAGGTTCGGGATAGAAAACTTGTGCTATCACTAATCCAGGTTCAGGGAAGAAACCTTACTCACTACTCCAGGTTTCGTATTGAACACTTGCTCTCTACTCCAGGTTCATGATATAAAAATTGCTCTGTATTCCCGGGTCAGGATAGAAAACTTGCTCTCTTCTTAAGGTTCAGGATAGAAAACGTGCTCACTACTCCAGGTTCAGGATAGCCAAATTTTAGAGGATAGAAAACTTGCTTTCTATTCCAGGTTCAAGATAGAAAACTTGCTCTCTGAAACAATCAACCTTGTGTTTACTCTAAGTCCAAGGGTTAACTGAGGTTTAGAAAATATATTTATAGATTCTAATTGCAATGTTATTGTTCATCAATAATAAACACTGATCAGTAAACAGTGGATACTGAAGCAAGTATTTTGAAAATTTACGAGAATGATCAAATGATCAAATACGAAATGTCATGTCATGTGAAAGAGGGTCGGTTATTTCAAAAAAGTGATTCTAAAAAACATGTCGTGTATGTTTTACATATTTTCATGTTCTTGTCAAAAACTTGTCATAATATTTAAACACCATCTTATTTTTTTAATCTATAAATTTTATGTTTCCCGTCATAAAATAGGAATGCGTTGGCCTTTATACCCACCGAACTGTGGTCAAATATATACGCTCACTCACGTATTCACAGTATATGCGTAATACTAATATGCGTAACATTTCGCAGTCTGAAAAGACATGCAACTATTCATCATTCATCATTCATCATTCATCATTCATCATTCATCATTCATCATTCATCATTCATCATTCATCATTCATCATTCATCATTCATCATTCATCATTCATCATTCATCATTCATCATTCATTATTCATCATTCATCAATGGATAGAAAACCAAATTTACCTGCTCAATGGTTCACCTTGTGTTGAAATATAATATTTACACAATTACGCATTTTCCTAAGCAAACTATTTACGCAACTCTTGCGTATCCTACAGTAAACAGTCAAATAGACCGAGATGAAGAATACAGGGTTGAGGACAGTTCGATATATATAGGAAGGGAAGTAATGAATGATAAGTATATATGTATATATATATATATATACATGAATTGTTTTTAAATCTAACACTTTCAGCTCAAATTAAAACAACTCATTTTTTGCAAAGTTTTTGGTTTATTAAACCTTCTTCAGGGCATCATGAACAACAGACAAATAAGTCTAAATAGATAGATAGAAAAATATGTATGGATAAATAGATACATACATAGATAGATAGATAGATAGATAGATAGATAGATTGTAAGATAGCTTTTTTAATCCTAAATGATGCGGCGGCCCTTCTATACTGCAGCAGTATGTTTTATCAATAAACTCCCTCTATTCCTCTCACTTTTCCCTCTCCTCCCGTCCTCCCCTCGCCCTCCCTCCCTTTCTCTAGAGTTCTGTTGATTCATCATTCATCAAAGTTTACATAATAACCTCCCTAACTCTTCCCATCCAACCTTCTATGAACTTCCCTTCCTACCTTCTATATACTTCCCTTCCTACCTTCTACATACTTCCCTTCCTAATTCTAATATACTTCCCTTCCTACCTTCTCTATTCTATCCTTCCTACCTTCTATATTCTATCCTTCCTCCCTTCTATGCCCTTCCCAATTCCTACCTTGTATAAACTACCCTTGTACATTCAATATTTTTCCCCTCCTACCTTCTATACTCCTTGCTTCTACCTTCCTAGCACCTTCCTTCCTAGATTTCCCTTCCTGTTTCTTTTGCCTCCTTTTCTTCCATCTTATCCTTCTCTTGTAATATTTTCTACTCCCACTTTCTTCCTTCTCTATTCCCCGTACATATCTTCTCTACCCTTCCCTTATCCATATTTCTCCCTCCCCCTTCCTCATGTTCCCCTCCCCATCCCCTCCCTTCCCCTACCCAGCCCTCCCCTTCCCCCACCCCGTAGTGGCTTCTCCATCATACCGCTACAAGTAGAACTTTAAGGTTTCGTGATTTTTTCTACAAGTATTTTCTATTCCCGATGAATATTCGCCTTTGGTTTGTTTCAGATATCGTCGAAACTGCTGAACCGATTTCCTCCAAATTTTAAGTGTGACCTAACATGTCCCTACCCTACGGCAAATTCAGAATTATGCATTTGCCTGGTCAGGATTTTAAAATTGGCGCCTTTTAAACGTAATTTGGGAAATCCACAAAATAAAAACATAAGAATATGCCATTTTTTTAATAATGCACGATTAGAAGTTGCTAAGAAATAGATGAAATAATAAAAGTTAATATCAATGTATAATAAAAACCCCAGCATAGTTAAAAAAATAATTTTAAATCAATTTTTAGATTTTAGTTGTTTGATTGAACACTACTAGAGCTATACAAATAAAAGTACGACACTTTTTACAATAATTTTGAAATCTGTATTTTTACAGCGCTTGTCTGTGTATATAATTCCACACGAGCCATTATATACAATATATAGTAGCCCTGCATTGTTACAGTAATCATTATCATTTAAAACTAAGATTATGTACCTCAGGCTGGCCAAGTACTGGGTGTTCCAAAAAAACGACACTGAAAATTCTCAATTTTTTTTCAGTGGCTCAAAAAGAAAATATTTCATCAAATCAGATAGGATTAATTTATTTTAGAAGATTTGTTTGGAGGGTGAAGTTTTTCTAAGACACCCTGTAGTAAAGAATCAGGCACTTTATGGGAAACTATGTGTGTATAATCAGTCAAAGGACAATACAGGCTAAACTACATACATCTTTTTGCAGGACATTAAGGACATTTTCGGGAAATACAAAGTTTTTTTTCAATGTTTGGATGTTTTGATATTATTTTCTCTCCAGGAATTGTAAGGATAATTTCACGTATTCTTCAATTAAAAAAGCGCTTGCCCGATGTACAACGGTACCCTTGAAACCTTTCATCTGCATGGAGTGTCATTTTTCTAGCTTGAAAACAGTTTAATTTCTACATGGTTTTCATGCTGCAAGAAACGCCAGTCACTTTTGTGGAAAAAACCACAAATTACAATTGAAAATAATATGTTTTTAAAAATTACGATTAAGATTTTTAATTCTATGGTTTATAAATGTATGTGTTTTTAAAATAAATATATAGTACATAAAAATCAATATTCCTGATCAGAATTTAAAATTAAAACAGGTGTTGAATATTTATTATTGGTCAATTAAAGTTAGCTACATAAATTTAATTTTCATTTAACGTATTTATAAAATATACTTAGAATTTATGTTGTCGTGAAAACGTAGTTAGGTAAAGCGTATAATTTCAAGTGACCCTCCATGCAAAGATGGCAATGACGGATTTACAACGGTACCCTTAAAAGCTTTGTCTGATCTAATATGAATTGGATATCAATGTTTTTAAATTTGAAAACTGATTTTTTTCAACATTTTTGATTAGATAAAGGTTCTAAGGGTACCGCTTGGACTTGCGGATTCATGCCACCAAAACATCTCTAGTTTTAAGATTTAAAAAACCTATAATCTTCCTCATTAGTTCTCAGATGAAAGATACCGTTGACAAACCCTTCAGTTAGAAAAGTGTAGTTTTAGAAATTTTCTTTTTTTTAGTTTCCGAGTTAAGGTTTGTTGACTTTAGACCTAATACGATGTAATATGTATTCTATCTTATTTAAACTTCCCAAAGGTATCAAATTGTTTTTTTTGAATGGTCATTATTCCCCCCCCCCCCTCCACCCTCTCAAGGAGTTGTTTACTTATCACGTGACACCGCAGATAAAACTATGCGAAACAATATAATTATCATTATTTATGATGTTGTGGGGGGGAGGGGGGAAATCTACCCCTTTGTCCCCCCTGGAGCTTTATAATATTTATGTATCCCTTTTACCTCCTACAAGGGGGATATTACTCCCCCCCTCCACCTCCTTCAAGAGGGATATTACCCCCTTCCCCCCCCCCTAAGCACTGCGAATATTCACACCAAAATAGAAAATAAAACTTGCATGTGATAAATCATAAATACTTAATCAAACGATATTTTTTGTTGAGATACATGAGACATTTCATAAATTCAGGTTTGATGGACAATTCATAGATATAGAGGACGACTTTTTAATAATGATGTTTTGTTTTCTAACAAGAATATTTTTAAATTACAAGTTTACAAGTAAACTAAGAGAAGCTGTTAATTGATAATTTCTCTTTGTATACATGTTTATGTGTCTCTGCTGTTTGAAAGCTTGGTAGAAATCATAATTAAAATAATTAAAATAATTAAAATGATTAAAATCTTCATTGTATTGATTTATACGACGAATATTTGTAAAAAATCTTCTTTTTTTGTTCTAATACTGCAATGTTGTCAATTATATGTCCTATCAATGAAATGTCCTCTATGACAGTCCTCAATATAATGTCCTCTATGAAAGTCCTACACACAATGTCCTCATAGTTTTAAAATGTCCTCTATGAAATGTCCCTTTTAAAATGTCCTCTTTAAAACGTCCTCTATGGAATGTCCTCCATGAAATGTCATATATAGAATCGTGAAATGTCCTCTAAAAATATTCTCTGCGAAATGTCTTCAATATGAAATGTCTTGTATGACTGGAACATCTAAAAGTCTATAAAATGTCCTAGCTATCTACAATGTCTTCTATGATATTCTCGTTACTAAAATGGTTCATCCATAAATGTTTAATATTAACGTCTTATCAATTAAACGTCCTCTATAAGTTGTCCTTCTATAAAATGTTCTTTCTACTTGTGGTCCTAATTATTTATCTCAATTTTTGGCCGAAAATTCATAACTTTTTAGTTGATCACAAGCAAATATATCTTGCATTTTAGTTGATAGTACACAGGCAAATATATCTTGCATTTTAGCTGATTGTACACAAGCAAATATATCTTGCATTTTAGTTGTTAGTACACAAGCAAATATATCTTGCATTTTAGTTGATTGTACACAAGCAAATATATCTTGCATTTTAGTTGATAGTACACAAGCAAATATATCTTGCATTTTAGTTGTACACAAGCAAATATATCTTGCATTTTAGTTGATAGTACACAAGCAAATATATCTTGCATTTTAGTTCATAGTACACAAGCAAATATATCTTGCATTTAGTTGATAGTACACAAGCAAATATATTTTGCATTTTAGTTGTTAGTACACAAGCAAATATATCTTGCATTTAGTTGATAGTACACAAGCAAATATATTTTGCATTTTAGTTGTTAGTACACAAGCAAATATATCTTGCATTTAGTTGATAGTACACAAGCAAATATATCTTGCATTTTAGTTGATAGTACANAGTACTACTATCATCTACTGATGAGTAAAGTACTACTATCATCTACTGATGAGTAAAGTACTACTACTCTCTACTGATGAGTAAGGTACTACTATCTACTGATGAGTAAAGTACTACTATCATCTACTGATGAACTACTCTCTACTGATGAGTAAAGCTCTACGTCTACAACTGATGAGAAAATCCCAAAATCTTCTCACAATTAGGCTGAAACAGGATGTTGGGCAGCAAAACCAAACTTCCAGATAGTTAGATAGATAGTCAGATAAAAGGTGAATATATAGATAGATAGATAGTCAGATAAAAGGTGAATATATAAGATAGATAGATATTCAGATAAAAAGGTGAATATATTGATAGATAGATAGTCAGATAAAAGGTGAATATATAAGATAGATAGATAGTCAGATAAAAAGGTGAATATATAGATAGATAGATAGTTAGTTAAAAAGGTGAATATATATAGATAGATAGATAGTCAGATAAAAAGTTGAATTTATAGATAGATAGATAGTCAGATAAAAAGGTGAATATATAGATAGATAGATAGTCAGATAAAAAGGTGAATATATTGATAGATAGATAGTTAGATAAAAAGGTGAATATATAGATAGATAGATAGTCAGATAAAGCGGTGAATATATGGATAGATAGATAGTCAGATAAAAGGTGAATATATAGATAAATAAATAGTTAGTTAAAAAGGTGAATAGATAGATCAATAGATAATAGAATAATATATAACAAGATAAATACATAGAGATGAATAGATAATAGTATAATAAATAACAAGATAAATACATAGAGATGAATAGATAAAAAGTTATTAAGAAAAGCGAACAATAATTCATGAGGGAATTAGGTAGATTTGTATAAAAGATAAATAGAGATAGCATGGCAGAAAGTCCGCCTAAAAGATAGATAAATAAAAAATAATTAATATCATTTAAAATTTGGTGTTAAAGATGCTCCAACCCTCACAGAGTAAACAAATAGGCGTGAGTTCCATATTTTTTGAAAATATATTATATGAAAATAATTATATTTGTTTCATTCATGAAGATTCAAAACAATATCAATGATTTGATTTACGGATTTAGAAACTAATAAGATTAATGTAATTCATCTCGTAAATACAGACAATTTAAACAAACTTGCAGTACAATTTAACACATACAAGAAAGGATACATAATGAAAAACAAATAACACAAGAAAAAAAATCAAGACTGATACAGTTAGCATATTTGCTTAGAAAATTTTTTCTATTGATTGTATCATTGGAAAGATTTGATAGTTTTGAAGTAACTATGTAATTCTTCAAACAGTTATTTATCAAGTTAAACTGCAATGTGACAGATATTTAATTGTAAAAAAAGAAAACAGACAAATGAACATTCTGTATCTATCTTTCTATCTATCTATCTATCTATCTATCTATCTATCTATCTATCTATCTATCTATCTATCTATTTTTTATATGACAGGTTAGTTCGACAATAATTAATACGTTTTATCTATAAGTAGCCTTTCATGAGCGTAGCGTTTTTCTAGGTACACCGTTCCTCTGATTTGCGGACTTATGTCAGAGATACAATGAAGGAAATTAACATTTTCAATTTAATTTACTCACACTTACCGGTAGTTACCCCCTCCAACTTAAGCCGATAAAATACTTTAGCCAAAAATCTCGCAACCTCGACATGGTCTTACTCCTGTACTTTAAGACTACCAGACACAAATATGTTATACCAATGGTTCTTATTTTATTTTGCTTATGATACAATTTGCGCGTCGATTTGCATTCCATCCTTTCAAAAGTACCCAGTTCACACACATCTGCAACACTTGAACTCTATATCCGTAATCGAGTGGGAACTTTTAATTTAAAGAGATTAAGTAACTAACCTGTAAAAAAATAGCTGACGCGTAATTTCATGATCTTTCATTGATCAAGAGCAATTTTTTTAGGCTTCTTTAACATCGTGGATTTTGAAAAGATTTGCCCATTTCTGGGTTTTGTGAAACTTAAAACACCGATTGAAAGTTGAAGATTTATTAGGATTTGAATCAGAAGCTAAGACTTTGAACCGGTGGTAGGTAATTCAGCGACCTCTCCAACTCTTTAAATTTGGTTCCTGTAAAACTGTTTTATAACATATATTTAGGTTGCAGCCAATAAATTTGGTTTGACTGGAAGAAACAACCTCGAGAAAGCTTAGAAGGCTAGTGAGACTGTTGATACTCTTGTAGATCTTTAGAATGCTGGATATGGAGTCGTTATCAACAAAGATCCAGAGAAGAAGGACCAAGTTTACAGAAATTCAAAGCAAAGGCTAGGACAATTCTTACCCATCTGGAATCTCGTTTGAAGTCACTTTGTGGACAATATTTTGCTGGAAATCAACTGACTTGGTCAGATCTACAGCTGTTCAATATTCTGGAGGCCATTAAGGTTCTCCAGCCAGCACCTGCAGAAGACTATTCCCTACTCAAGGATCTGTCAACTAGGGTTGGAGATCTTCCAAACATAAAGATATGGATGTAGACAAGACCTGGAGAGAATAGAGACACTAAACCACAGCTTATTGATTTATAAAAGATCCTAAAATAAGTTCTTTGTTCATCTCTTTAAATTGTTTAAATATTCTTTTTTATCCATAGCAAAATGAAATTTGATAGAATTGATTTACTAAATAAATATTAATTAACCTTTACATATTTCATATACGTGACATTTAAAGGGTGTTGAGAAAAACCAACACTTCACGTTTTTTTCATAGGCTTAAGTCTCTTGGATGTCAGGGTTAGATGGTTAAAAAACTATCGGATTTGGTCAACCCTGCTTTGCATAAATGTTGTTTATCTCTTGGGAGTGGAACAGATTATGCCTGGAACTGTGAATGGCATTTTACTTAAAAGTCTAGTGTGTGTGTGTAAAGTATAGCATTGTCCTTCAAACATTATAATTTATCACATGTAAAGCAAAACTTTATCTTTTTCTAAAGATAAGGTGAAAATATTACTCATTGTTCACTTTATTGAAGAAGAGCGAAGATATTAATAAAATGGCTGATATCAAACTAACCTACTTCAACGCTCAGGGAATGGCAGAGATTTCTAGGCTAATATTAGCTTGCGCCAATCAAAAGTAAGACAGCTAAAATGGTTTATTTTAAAATTGTTCATGAATGATAATGATCGATAATTTTCCTGCTTAAAATTGCATGAATCTTACTGGAAATGAAAAAAATTATAATTTTGTCTTTTTATTTTAGATGTTTTTACCTGAAATAACCATTAACAGATCGTTAATGACTAGCACTGTTATTAACAATAGCTAAAATCTTCCGTTAACGTTGTTCAAAAGATTGAGATCATTAACGAACAGTAACTTTATAAAACGACATTCAGTTCTTAGCTAAGAAAGAACGTATATCTGAAAAAGAAAGAACATATTGTAAAGGTTATGAAATCCCCAAAAGAGGATTATGAAATCCGCAAAAGAGTAGAGTCGGATTCTGGAACTTCCTCTCCTTTTATACACTCGTTATTTTTTATGTATTTAGAGCTAGAAGCAATTTAGAAGTAAATTTTTTGCTTTGTATTATTGTATTTACAACTGAAAGAAATTTAGAAGTACATTTATTGCTTCTAGTTGTAAATAAATAATACATAAAGAGTGTATAAAAGAAGAGGAAGTTGAGCAGGTCTTCTCTGGTTCCAGGGTCCGACTCTACTCTTTTGCGGATTTCATAATCCTCTTTAGGGGAATTCATATCCTCTACAATATATCTAAAAAAGTTATTGTTTTGAAGGATTTTAGATAACCGTTATTGATCGCTCATGGGAAACATTTAAGCTGACTCATAGCTACGCTGGTGAAGATGTCTGTTAAACAAATTCTTGACTTTTGATGTTCAACGTTGGTTGGTCTGATCAAGGGCTTGGCATAGTTTAGTTAACGAAACGGAGGTTTTTGAAAATTAACGGAATAGTCCATTAAGGAATGGCAAAATTATTAATTTTAAAATCGTTAACGAAACGAATTAACCATTTAAAAAAAACAATGGTTGAAAACGAAAATGAAACTAATGGGTTATTTAAAAAATCAATTTTTGTCATTTTCCACGGCTAAAACTGCATAAAACAAGTTAAAAAAGAAAAATTGGAATGTATTTTGATGTTTTTAAATGTCGTCTTCAGCCCCCCTGATGACCGCTTTTGCCTTAAATCCATTTTGATAAACAATTTTTTATGCAATATCTGAACAGCTAATGACATTAATTGAAAAAAAATCTGTTAACAGCGGAATATCTTCCACACCGTTAATAAAAATAAGTTTGTTAACTAATGGTAACTTTAAAAAAAACGGAAAATACCTTTAACCAAATGAACGTTTTGTTCTCACCTGTAAAACTAGCAGCTACCTGAAATTGTTCTTTTTTAACGGTTGGAACTAACTGTCAACGTCAATGTTGAAACATTCCCAGCTCTAGTCTGAACGTGCCCAATCTTAAATGAAGTTCAAAATTAGAACAATTATATCATTTGTTTTAACTTTTCCATTTTTAAATACCTAATGTTTTCCCAGGTTCACAGATGAGAGAATGGAGCGCGAGGATTGGCCAGCTGTAAAACCTACAGTTCCATACGGACAGATTCCTATTCTTCTCTACAATGGGGTCGTAATATCACAGAGTATTACGATTGCAAGGTAAACATTTTTAAAAACATTTTTGTTTTACATTTTTTCCATGATTTTAACATCTTAATTCAGGTTCCTAGCTAATGAGTTTGGTTTGGCTGGGAAAAACAATCTTGAGAAAGCTGAAGCTGATGAGATTGTTGATGCTCTTATGGATATTCAGAATGCTAGATACGGAGTCTTTTTTAACAAGGACCCTGAGCAGAAGGATCAACTTCTTGAGGAATTCAAAGTAAAGGCTAATACAATTCTTACCCATCTGGAATCTCGTCTAAAGTCACGTGGTGGACAATATTTTGCTGGAAATCAGCTGACTTGGGCAGATCTACAGCTGTTCAATATTCTAGATGCCCTGAAGGTTCTTATACCAGCACCAGTAGAAGATCTGCCCCTGCTTAAAGACCTGGAGGATAGGGTTGCAGATATTCCTAATGTAAAGAAATGGATAGAAACTAGACCCAAGCAACAATAGGACACACCAGTCTAAAGTTGTATGATCTGTGCCGGTACAACACGTACTGTATATATATACGGTCGTACTGTCCAGTCAGGGAATTGTTTTGATATTTTATTTATCAGAAACACCGAATAAAATCTAGTTCAAAAATATATATATATATATATATATATATAAATATATATAGT